CGAAAAATATTGCAAAGATTGATTTGTGATTGTCTTTTGCGTGACTCCAGTCTTCTATAACTTGAATAATGGCATCCATTGTACTACGGCCTGGGAAGAAACCAAACTGTTTGTTTAGATTCAGATGTGCTTAGTGTCATGGACGATAAATTTGGCGATAATGCGTTCAAAAACTTTGCATAATGTGGATGTAATGGCGTGAAAAAACGTTGCATAATGTGGATGTTCTAAGCGGGAGGATTTGAGTAACAGTGGTGAAATATTATCTGGGCCACACGATCCTGTTTTTCGTTTGCTAAGTTGGTTGAGAATGTTACTATAGATAAAAATAGGGGTAGTAGGCGGGTCTGCTTACCGGTTGATAAAGAGAGATAGATTAGGTTGTTTCATATTGTTCCAAACACTTTGGAAGTGATCATTTAGCTCGTTTGCTAATGTCTCAGTGATAGAATCAGGGATTTGTCCTTTATCGGCGACCTTAATTTCTCGCCAAAAATTTGTATTTTCGGTGGAAAAGCGTCTGTTATAAATACGTTTTTTTTTATTGTTAGTTTGCAGACTTGCTTCGCTAGGTTTTCCATGCGTTGTAATGACCAGATAAAAAAAAGTTGCTGACGTTCTTTTATGTCGCACTGAATAAGCGGAGTCATCCAATGCTTGGGATTAACAAGTGTTGTTGTTCTTAGTGGTTGGCAGATGTCTTGAGCAGAGAGTAATGAATGATAGAAGTTATTGCAAGCGTTTTGTATTTCATATGGTGAGTCAACCAAGGTTTCAAGATCAGTATAACGTATTAATGCAACTGTTTCAGCAATTTTTTCTGACCTTTTAATCTGTTATTCGACAATTATTAATACGACAACTTGCGACACTATTCCTTATTTACATATTCGACAATCAAATTTGCGACAATCAAAATTTTGCGACACTATTCTTGTCACCCTAAAAATCCAGATGCGTACGCTCAGTTGTTTTTTTTTTCAAAAATTGTTTTGACAAATTTAGCTAGAGTTATCACAATAATTTGGATTGCGGTCTTTCCTAAAACAAAAACAAAAGACATTGTAACAAGTAAATCGTGAGTAGATAAATTTAACGAAGAAAAAATTTAGAATCATAATCTAATTTTTTATCTAATTTGGCATAAAATTTCTTCATATAAACTTTAAATCAATTTTGATAAAATCTATTTAAGTATAAAGTATGCATCGAAAAATGATGAACAAAAAAAAATTAAAAAAATAAAAACCATACACCGAAGAGCAATTCGCGCTTACGCAGTTCGCTCTTCGGTGTATGTAATACGATTAAAACGCCATCATCCTGAGCTTTCGTCATCTTAACCACCAGAATTTATGCTAGTGCCACCACAACCATCACCATCTCAACCGTTGCCTTTTAAATTTTTATTCTACAAAAAATGCTTATTTTAATTATTCGTTCTTTTAATTACTTATCGATATGCGTGTTTTTTTTTTTTTTTTTTTTATTTAAGTTGATTAAGGTGCCCCAAGAAGTCCTTACGGTCTTATCACAGAGCGCCGCGGAAGAGCATTTAATAGGAAGTTCACGCCTCCTTCCCAACCGATGTCGCAAAACTTGCCCAGAGGTGGGGTTCGAACCACGGATCTTACGTTTCTGAGACAAGTGCGCTACCACTGCGCCACGGCTGCTCTTGTTTGTTATCGATTTGCGTGTTTCGCTCTTCTCAAATGTGAAGTTTTTTTTTTTTTTATAATTAAATAAAGTAAGTCTTAAAAAAACTTTTAAAAACAACTTTTGTTTATATATTTAAATACACCTTAAAATTCCCTTAATCTTAAAAAAAAAAAAAAAAAATTTGCTTTCGCTTATTCGCAAAATGACTTACAACAAAATTATGATAGGAGTGTACGTATATCGACTATTGTATATCGAGTTTTGGTTTAGAAAGGCAATGAAAAAGTCTTTTAAGATTTAAATAAGGGTCCTGAATTAAAGAAGTATATAAATTAATATAATTTATATAAATAAATTAAATCAAATTTCACAGATAATAGCCGCAATTATTTGTGCCAAGTACAAATAATAAAATAATAGTTGCGCTTACAAATAATGCTTACAATTAAAAATAGTTAAGACGCTAAATACCTGGTAATCGGTAACTTGGACGTATCTTATAAATCGCTAACCCTATTTATTTAATAAGTAAACTAAATAAAAAATAATATAAAATAAAAGGTCGCGTAAATAATTAGGCATAATATTTATACAGAAAATATTTTTTTAAAGAAATAGCAAATACATAAAACATTTTAAAATCGCTTTTTTCTAATCATAGTTTTTTTAAAAACACTTTACATTTAAATATTTTATAATACTTATATTTTATTAACTTTATTTATTAACATAAGTTAAAAAGATTTATATATATATGTATATATATATATATATATATATATATATATATATATATATATATATATATATATATATATATATATATATATATATATATATATATATATATATATATATATATATATATATAGACTAACAAGACAAAAATAACTAATAACGACATTTTGAAAGTCGCTAGTAAAATACAAATTAAACAATCTTCATATTTTGTACTTCATTTTCAATTCCATTAATAAATACTCTCTAACGTTCGGATCTTTTATCTTCTGCAACTCCTTTATTGCTAACTCTTTCCCATTATCTTTGTAGTAGGATATTAACTCTTCTGCATAAGCGTACCATACACAATTTTGACAGCCATTACCACAACACAATCCTTCTACAGGAGGTACTGGAGGTTGAGGAGTACCTGAATTTGTCTGATATCTCGTAGTAAAACCAATGTAAAACAGTTTTTTTGATAGTTTGTTTAAACTAAAAAATTTTGATATAAGATGAAAATGCTTTTTATAAAATAAGATTTGGATAGTGTGGTTAACCCATTTAGAATTCATAAGCATTTAATGTTACGTTAAAACAACAAATTTTATTTGATAAAGAAAAAAAATGTCCACGTTTTTAAAGTGTTAAATTTTATGTAGTTCTATAGGTGGTGACTCTGTTTAAGTGAATCGTATGCAATAATGTTTTCTTGTATTTTCTAGGTAAATGCACCACCATACACAATAACTTTTGTTTTTGCATTTACAGCATAAATGTACCACAATATTTTTTCCTTGTATTTGTTTTTAATTTCTGAAAATTAAATTAAAAAACTACTAAAAAACTTTAAAGTTTCAATTTTTCCATCAGAATAATTATTTAAAGTCATTAAATTTTTTAAAAAGTGTTAAATATTACTTATAATTAAAAAAAACTTGTAACAAATAATAAAACAATTACTTCGTAATTTTTTTTATTAAAAAAATGGGTAGCAGTTATAAATATTTAATAATCATAACTTTCTTAAATTAAAAATTATTAGTTATAAATTTTTTTAATTAAAAAAAATTTATAAAAATATTTTATTCAGTATTATTTTTTATAATTATTTATCGTTGCTAATTTCATAAATAAAATAGCTCTAAAGACGTCAAGCAGCAAAATTTTTTGCTTACGTCTTGATATCGTCTCAAATAAACTAATGCATTAGTAGTAGAATGTCTTGTTTTCAACTTTAATGGTTACACTGCAGGCCAAAAGTTTGAAACTACTATGAAAAAATAAAAAATGAATAAATTATCACGAAATTTTTTTTCAAATTTCAATTAAGAATTCAGTTCTTTAATAAAAAATATATATATAAAACAAAAAATTATCGAAGAACAGAAAAAAACCACTAGAAAAGACAAAAAAATCACAAGAGAACACACAAAAAGTTTAGAATAAAAATACATGATTTTAATATTAACAAAATAATAAACTGTTTAAACAAAAATTAAATTTTTTTTTTACTTTAGCCTGAAAGTAAAAAATATGCAATACAATACACCAATTTTTACATATAAATGGGCCTAAAGTTTGATTAAAATTACTAAAACTATTAAATAAACAAAATAAGGGAGATAATACACAGCTTACACAAGGAGATAACACAAAGTTAACACAAGGAGTTAACACACTGTCAAACTGATGGTTTTAGACATTTTAAAAATTACCAGAGATAATGCGTACTTATACATATATATTAGGGCTGTTCAGTATGCTAATTTGTTTTCAGAACATAGCTAATTGAAGTTTTTCCCATTCAACTATCATATTGTGGTTCAAAAATATTTTTTACTAAATTTTATTATTTGCCCTGAAGGTCCCTCAAAGCCCCAAAACATTTGACAGGTCCCTAATATTATTGAAAAAAAAATTATTTAAAAATATGTCAACTTGGTACTCAAAAGAAGCAAAATCATTTAAAAATTTCAAAAACAAAAAGTATTTTTTATAAAAAAAACAATATTAGGTTTTTTTGAATAAAAACTATAGTTTAAACGAAAAATGAAAAAAAGGTAATATTCACAACATTTTTAATAATAAGTTTTTTAAGTTGTTTTTTATAAAAAATGAATCTAATTTTTAAAATTTTTATAAAATTTTGCTTCTTTTGAGTACCAAGTTGACATATTTTTAAATAATTTTTTTTTTAATAATATTAGGGACCTGTCAAATGTTTAGTGGCTTTGAGGGACCTTTAGGGCAAATAATAAAATTTAGTAAAAAATATTTTTGAACCACAATATGATAGTTGAATGGGAAAAACTTCAATTAGCTATGTTCTGAAAACAAATTAGCATAATGAACAGCCCTAATATATATGCGTACCTATACATATATACATTTTCCTTTAAACAACAATAACAAAAAAAGGTTATACTTTTTATAGGTTATTCATTTCTGACTAGATATTTATATTTATGTGCCAAAATTTCGCAAAAAAAAATTTTAATTACGCGTATATCTTTAGTCAAAATTATGGCCTGCAGTGTATATTTTGCTTGCATTACCGTTAAAATTAATCAATATTATAACTAAAATATAAAAAGCTTTAAGCATTTTAAAATAAAACATAGTAAAAATGGATTCTTATTTTTAATAAAATTTACATTTAGAAAAATGAATGAAAAGACTAAAAAAACCTTCGAGATGCACAACAATTTAAAGATTTATGTAATATCAGGAAAAAATCCAGGCACCCAATATAAAACTTCTTTTGTATCTTGAGTGTCAATCCAAGCCATACCTTCCTGTATTAAATAGTCCTGCAAAAAAGTTGTTTAATAAAATCATATATCATGTAGAGTGTATGAACATTATTTGTTAATAGAAATTCGATTATATTTATTTTATAAGTTTTTCTCTCACAATTTTGAAAGAAATATGAAGTTTAATACGCAACTTTTATTCATAAAACCAATACTATTATAATACTATTATTAATACCAATATATTTTGTACTCTGTTTTTATCCCACTTCAACTCATTCACTATGCTTGATACTGTAGTGAATCCGTTTTTCTAAATATATGAATAATTTTTTCTAAATATAAGTATGGTAAATAAATAAAAATTTTATATCTTATTAATTAGATATTAGAATTATGTTATTGATGCTGACTTTAATACTGCGCCAACAAAAAATAATAATAATAAAAAAATAATAAAAAAGAAATAATAGAAGACTACAAGGGGAGATGTTTAAAATATTTAAAGGAATAGATAAAGTTGAGCTCATCAATCCACCATTGTTTAAAAGTCTAAGTATGTGAAGCCACGGGTTTAAAACAGGGAAATTATTAATAGTGGATTTAGAAATAACCTCTCAACAAATAGTAGCACTAATATGGAATTCTCTGTCAGAAGCAACTGCCAACGAATTGCCAAAAAATTTTTGAACAAATTCAAAAACATTTATGATAGATTACATAAAGAAAAAGTTCTATCGAAAGAAAAAAATTAAAGAAAACTTCAATTAAAACATAAAAAGACAGTCAAAGTGTACAATTCACACTTGCTGGTGTTTTTACCAGTATTAAACTATACTATACTTATCTATCATTATCTGTAAATACTTTGCAAACTAATTACAAATTTCAAACAATTATTGCGAATTCTTTGTGTTAGTTTTATCAGCCAAATCTGCTAAAACCAGCGCAGATAATAAAAGAGAAACTTTAGGGTACAAATTGAAGTGAAACTTTAGAGTAAAAATATGGTCTTCAAATCTCAATTTCAATTCTCAATTAAATAATCATTTAAATTTTTTTTCAGATTATTTATATTATTTTTTATAGATTATGTATATATATATATATATATATATATATATATATATATATATATATATATATATATATATATATATATATATATATATATATATATATATATATATATATTATATATTTATATATAATATTTCATATATACAAATATTTATATTAAGTATAACATGAATTTCAATTAAAAATAAATTATTTTTGCTTTATCAAATACAACCCTGTTCAAACTTGTCGCAACTAAAAATAATTTCTAGTAATTTTTTATTAACAGTTGTTTATTAAGACCTATTTTATGATTTTTAAATCATAAAATAGCTTTTAAACATTTATTTTTTATGATTTTTAAATCATACAAACATTAAACATGTATGACCAAAAAAAAACAAAAAACAGAGCACTAACTACACAAAAAAGATGATAAAAAAACTGGATTTTTAATATTAGATTAGAAATTGTTTTCAAAAAATAATTTAATATACTAATCAATCTAAATAAGTACCTGCGCAGTTTGTAGAACAGTGGTGTGGTCAACACTTAATTCAGTAGGTACAGATTGAACTAAGGTGCGTCCAGGTAATGGCAGCACCTTAAAGCCACTGCCTAAAACACCTAGCTTTTTAATTGCACGAATTAAGTCATCCCTAAAATTAAAATAAAATCTGAAAAATAGTAGTATTACAGACTAAAACAAAAAAAAGTAGTTTATACATAATTTTCTTTTTATTTATTCAAAAAATGAAATTTTAACTCACTCTGAAATATCTTGTCGGGATTTTCCACGACCTTTCAAAACTAATCTTAAAAGATCATTAATGGCAATTAAACCTCCATTTTTATTTTTTGTAGCCAGACAAACTTCTGTTATTTGCACACTAAGCTAGAAAAATAAAAATAATAACTTAATTTTTAATTATTATTAAATAAATTATCAAAGTTATTTTATCTTTTCAATGTTTCACAATCTTTATATAAAATGTTAAACAAATCCATTCTAAAAATGGTTTTTTTAATTAAAGTCACAGCTTCTTTTTTTTTAAATCATTTTATTCTATAAAAAATAGTTATCTTAGTTTAAAGCATAGATTTAAATTTTTTTCATTTATTTAATTTACTTAAATACATTATATTATACTTTTATAACTTACTATATTTTTTAAAGTAAACATTTATATATTTGATTTTTTTGTTTGTAATGAAAAGCCTAGGAGGTGACACCATTACATTATAAATACAACAAATCAAAGTAGATAAATAATTTTTTTTAATTTTTTATGAGAAAATTTATTTATTTATTATTTATTATTATAAGTATTTTTTAGAATAAATTTATTTTTTAAACTTTGAATAATCTTTAAGTTTACAGAAGATTACTTTAAGTAAATGGAGAGATAAATTAAGTTGAAGGGAGGTTTAATTAAAATGATAATAGGTTACTTTAAGTTTTTGGAGGGTAGCAGTAAATACTTTGTGTTTTTTCAACATTTTTGCATTAAAAAAAGTTTAACTCATTAAAACTTTAGAACACAAAAAAATATTAAATTTTTTTTATTTTAAGTTATAATTAGTCTAGCTTAGCAGAGAGGATTTTTATTCATGTTAGTCTTTGCAAGTGCAGTTGGTGCAATTTTAAACCCCATATGCTACGATGTGAAAAGAACTACTTTCATAAAAAAAAAGTACACAAAACTTTAATTTTATAATTATGCAAAGACAAGGGATTGCAAATGGAGTCATTGAAAAGAAATATTAAAAAAAAAATTTCTTTTTTATGTTACAGAATTAAATAAGGTAATAAAAAATAACAGATCTTTTAATAACTTTTTGTTAATAAATTAATTTTTTTTTAAATTAGTAAATTACTTTTTTTAATTAAATCTAAATTACTTGAGAAAACAAAATTTTTGGATAAAAGATTAAATTTTAACTGCCAACCATACAATAGCATAAAAAAATTTTAAATCAAATTTTTCAAAATCAAAAAAATCTTTTAGCATCAAAAAAGATTTTCAGATAAATAAAAAAGGTCACTAGTTTTGATTTTATTTACTAAAGATTTAAAAATTGCTGAATAAGAATTAATTATAAGGATAAAACCTGCGTAAGGATACTAAGGATGAGGAAAAACCCTCTTTTCCATTTTCCAGCTTATACTGTGTCTTTTGCTTCTTTTATCTAAAGCTATATAAACAATGACATATTTGGAGTAATTATGGCAATTGATTATTTTGATAACCATAAAGAGTGCATAATTATGTGTAAAAACATAGGCCTTGATCCCTTAATCCCCTTTCCCTGTTTATGTTTTCTTAGTAGCTTTTATAACCTAAAACAGTAAAATTAGAATGGTTATAATAATTATGATTATTATGGGAAACATTAAAAAAGCAAAATTATAACTTTAAGAACTATATAAGAACACATACTCATAATGATATAGTCTTTTTGGAGTCATATCAACCCTGGTAACATCTTTATAACAAAAAAACCATTGGTTTTAAAAATATTCGAAAAACTCTGAATAAATCATTAATCAAAATATAATTTTATTAAAAATCTTTTTTCCAAAAATTAATTGAATTTGTCTTTATAAAGCTCCATAATCAATTTACAAATTCGACAATGAAAAAAAGTCAACTTTGTAAAAAAACTAAAGTAATCATTTCATTAATGGTGTCACTGTTGGTGCTTCAAGTGTGAGTTGTTGAAACCATTGGGAGTTTTTGTAGTTGTTTTGTTTGATTATTGTTCATTAAAACACTGTTAACAACTAAGCTTTAAACTTAATTGAATTACAATTGATCTTAATTGTATTAAGCTTTCTATTTTACAATGACTAATATGGTTGCTATTCTATAAAGGTGATAGTAGTATGAAGGTGATAGTATTTAACAAACAAAAAAAGAATTTTTTTAACAAAAAAAATTTCTATAACAAAAGAATACCTCATAATAAAAGTCACCCACTCCAAGAATTTCTGACCAAAATCCTCTGCTGGCTTAAATAGAAATGCATAAAAGGAATCTTAAATTAATGCTTTGTCACTTTTTCTTTAGTACTAATTTAGCATAAAACTTGCATTAATTTCAAAATTTATAAATTATGTATAATTTATAAATATTGATTGTTTGATTTATAAAAAACTGTTTCTACAAGTTAAAGTTATTAGAATATTGAATAGCTGATAAAATATTGAAGAAAACAGACCAATAAAATATATAACAAAACATAATGAACATACATGCAAGGGGATCAACACCAATCTTAGCGCAAAGTGTTTGGAAATGTTGACGAAACTCTGGATTTTTTTTAATGTCACTTTGATGCTTAGCAGCAAAATCTTCTAAGTAGTGTTTGAAGGCATCAAGTTGTTTTATCATCTAAAATGAAATTTTGAATCTTTTAAAATGAAATAATTTGAAAACAAAATTTTTCTTTTAATGACAAGCCTAAATATTAATTTTAACCAACTTTATTGTTGTTTTGATTGAAATATTATTAATTTAAAAACTAATCCTTCTTCTACAATTTCTATAATTTTTATTCTTCCTTGAAAAAAAAAATTGCATTAAACAAAACTTAAAAAAAATTATTATAATTGTAAATACTTTTTGATTGCATACAATCAAGCACAACAACAGCAAAACAGTACTGTGATACAAGAAAATATAACTTACATATGAAATTTCTACATCTGCAAGTTCAGTTCCTTTTGCAGCATACTTTTCCTATAAAATAAAATCCATTTAAAATACTGCTTACGCTGAACTGAATAATAAACTATAAAATTTACTTTTAATAATTTCAAGTTATCTGGCAAACAAATGACTAAAACTTTGATAAATAAAAGATATATACTTTACTTTAAATATCAATAAGATAATATTTTTATTTAAAATTTCTTGACATACTTATATAAATAGGTGTGTATGAAAAGTAAGGTGACTTTTTAAATTACGTGGGCAACATATATTCAATTAGTTATTTTTTGTTTTAGTACACATGTCATAGTTGATTATTTAGATAAAAATAGCAACACTCATGTCCTTTTGTCCTTTAAAGTGTTTTTGCTCTCCAGTTATAAAGATTTTGGAGTTCATTTTCATTGTTTATGTCTTCTGGAAGTTTTAAGAGTTAATATTTCTTTTTTAAAATTATAATCTGTAATTTAGCCTGCATTGTTTCTTTCTTATTTACAATGCTATATTACTCTATCGTTAAACATTTATCTACAGTTTCAGCAACATATTTAGTTTGTTATTGACAGATACAAATGTTAAATGTCTTTTGGTGCACTTGGCAATACTTGTGCTGGCTGAAGCAAACTTTGCACAGAAAATAAAATTAAGTGCTCTAAAACACTTAAAATGTTGAGAGTGGCATATGGTGAGTCTGCTCTGAATAAAAAATATTTATAGATGGTACAAGATCTTCTAAGATGGCTGAAAAGAAACCAATAAAAAAACTTGCTATGAATGCACCAGCACATCAACAACAGATAAAAACAATTAAGCAGAAACATTGTTAGATCAAAACTGAAAATAGGGTATATGGTTATGAAATCAAGATAAAACCAAATTCGTCCAATGCAAGTACCCATGAGAAGCAAGACCAAAAAAAGACCAATCAAAACTGAGAAGATCCACAAAAGGATGAAGATGTTTAGTGATTGAGGCAGCATTGTTGGAACAGCTCAAGGCTATACGGGTGCTTATTAGAATTTATTTGAGTATTGGAAAAAGTGTCTGCACAAGTTAATTATATCAAAAAGGGAGTGGGGGGGGGGTTACAAGAAAACATTTTATCTGCCACGAACTTCAGAAAATTAAATCAAATAAATTACATAATGAAGATAATATGTAAAAATTAAGAAAATTATAGATGGTGTCCCACAGGTCCAAAAAATTTATTCTATATAAGTCTATTTTTTCCATTTCTATTTGACATTAAAAATAAAGTTTTCCATTTTTTACCTTTTTATCATTTTTGAATTACCAAAAATATTTAAAAACCAAATAATTGATTTTTCTAATAACAGTTTAAAGATATCTAAACTTCAATAATGCTAAGTAATCCAGAATGAAAAATTCATACACAATTATACATACTAAATGGTGCAAACACAATTACAGATACAACCCTCAGAATTAGGGTCAATATTCGTTAATGCCGACCTAACTGCTAACCTAAAACTGCTTGAGGTCGGCAAAAAATAACCTACCTCGTTTCTATGTTTTATGGTAACCCCTTTGAGTCAAATTTTTTTTGCCGACCTCTAACAATTTGTCAGAAATTTATTCCCAACCTCATTTTTCCTAATTCTGAGGGTTGCAGATACTGGATATGAATAAAATGTATATGAATGAAATAAAATTAAACATTAAAGTTATCATCAAGTAACAAATTTAAACTAACAGAAATCAAATTAATTAAAGATGCCATTTTGAAATACTATTATCTGATGGTAGTACTTATTAATTTTATGTATGGGTTTTTAATGATTAAATTTAATAAAGAGGGTGCATTTGAAGTAGACTACATAAAGCTAGACTAAATCAGGACCATATTTTTTTTTTAAATAAACAGTTTTAATATTTTAATGTATTTCATAAAAAACAATAGTTAAAATTACCTTGGTTATTCGACTGCGATCAACAGAGGCAAGACCAGGTCCTCGTCTCATAACTTTAAAATTAACTATAACAAATTTAAAATATTTTCTGTATCTACTGAAACTCTTTATTTTTGTAAAAAGTAAAAAAACCTTTTTTTATTGTTTAAATAAATTAATATATTGAACAACAATTTTAAATTAGCTAATATAATAAATTATTAAAAAAAAATTTACAAAAAAAAAAAAAATTAAAAATAAAAACAAAATCAATTTTATTTTTAAATTTCAAGCACAAAAAAAAAATGTATAAATGTTTAAAATGTTCATAGATGCAAAAAATTTTATGTAGATACACATAAATAAAAAAACTTATTACGAATTTTTGCAAAAACAATTACAAATACACATGTTTTTTGTTATTTCAATGTTTATATTCAAAATGTTGTTGAATTGCTGATGGATTTTTATGAATGTTCATGTTATAACATGCTTTAACTGTAACATGTTTGCTGGTTTGCTAATATTTTTACCAATGGCATAAAATGTTTGCTGATTTGATGATGTTATTCGGTTTGTCATGTTACTCATGCTTAATTATCTAGATAAAAGAAGCAACACTAGCGCACTTTTATTATTAAAGTGTTTTTGCTCGCCAGTTATAAAGATTTTGAAGTTCATTTTCATCATTATTGTCTTCTGGAAAAGTTTTATCAGATAATATTTCTTCTTTTTTAATTACATTCTCTAATTTATCCTTTGTTTCTTTCTTATTTACAACTTTCTTCTTTTGCATTAAATCTTTTAATTTGTCAACACGCAGTAAACAAGATCTAAAGAAATAAAAAAGTTATTAAAATTTTTAAATTCTTACTCAAATACTTTAACTTCAACAAATCTTTAACTACATATTCGTATACTTTACACTTCAACAAAGTATCTTTAACTACATATTCATATATTTTACACTTCAACAAAGTATCTTTAACTACATATTCATATACTTTACAATTTCATTATTAGTTTAATTAATAAATTTTCTTTACCGGGCAAATAGAAAATATAATTACATACAGCTAAACAAACTGTAACATTTTATGGCAAAGTTTTATGGTCATAGTACTAAAAAAAATAATTTCATTTTACAAAATATTTTAGAGCTAAAATGTTCTAGTGATTTCAATAGCATAATTACATCTAATATATCAACAGTATACTTTAAACATATTAACATTAACAACAATCACACGACCACCAGCACACTGCTTTCATAGATTAATAAATCTCTTTAATTCCTGCTCATATTTACAAAAAAACTATAGTATTTTAAACTCAACATAGTTTATTAATCACAAATTTAAAAATGATATTAATCTATTTGTAAAATATAAAAAGTTGAAATAAAACACCATTACATTCAAAATACATATAATACTTTTTTTTAAAACTCTTATGCATTGTTCTTTAAAGCTTTTTGTTTTAAAGAACAATGCATAAGTTGTTATATCTATTTATACTTCAATGAATGTAAAAATGAATGTAATGTTATGTTATTCAAAACTATTTACTATAATAAAATTATATAAATATGTTATAAAGAACTCTTACTTTAAATTAATATATTCTTGCATATCTTTCATCATTTCAGCTTCTTCATCTTCTTCATCTTGAATTGCTTCAGAAACCTTTACATTGTTAATAAAAATGTTCATCTAATGTTATTATTAGGTTATACACAAAAACATTAGTTGTGATGTCATATATATATATATATATATATATATATATATATATATATATATATATATATATATATATATAATATATATATATATATATATATATATATATATATATATATATATATATATATATATAATAGTATGCATATATACATTATGTAAACTTTTATTTTTAAAATGAGCAAACCACAGAAACAATAAACTTCTAATCATCATGAGTCTAGATTAAAAATGATTGTGCTTCCTCGATTTTAGTAAGAAGTAAGAATTATTAATAGTAAAACAAATAGTTGGAGAAACCAAAGACTTTTTAAAAAACAGATGCTTTCTAGCAGATAGAAAAATAAGATTCAGACAAGCACTAATTAAATATCATGCAAACTGTAACAGGAATGTTGCTTGAATCAAAAGAGAATATTCTAAACATTAACATCTTTAGCCATAGAGGCTGGAGTGATGCAGCTTGAAGTGATGCATGTGTAAAAGTAAGGTGGTCTTTTGTTACTGTTTTTAATTCGCAATATATTAAAATGACAAAGCAAAAATTAAAAATTAAAAAGTGTGAAGATTAACTTGGTAATTAAATATAAACTTGATAATCCAAGTCTTCCAAGTAAATTTTTGTAACAATTAATACAAAAACTTACTTTTGTTTCCTCTTGAATTATCTGTTGAAATTTTTCCCATTCTTCATCTTTTGGGTCTTTATATTCAACATTACGAGCCTAAAATAATGTATGAAAAAAAAATTCTTTCTTTTTTAAATCAGAAAGTATTGTTATTTAAAAATTTTGGCAAATCACAATAGAAAAAATTCATAGTTTATACCAGAAATTTTATGTATGTATGTATGTATGTATGTATACACATGTATGTATGTATGTATGTATACACATACATCTTATTGTAAGAAAAAAAATTTAATACTTTTGCATCTTTTTTTGGATCATCAAAAAATCCTTCAGGTAACTTTTCAGATTCTGTACCACTGATTTTCCTTAAAAAAAATTTTTTAATATAAATAATATAATAAAACAACTAATAATATAATAAACTATAAATAATAAAAATTGAATAATAAAAAATATAAATAAAATTTGTGATAAAAAAGCATAATACAATTCAAACAATCCAAGATATGAAAAACATAATATCATGAAAAAGCAGCAAAGATATTATCAAACAAACTAAGGTGTTTGATAATAATATCTTAATAAGTATTTGTATTTTTAACAGGAAAAACTGTTGAAAGAATAAATATAATGCTAGCAAACCAAACAACCTTAACAATACAACCTTAATAATTTAATAGTAGTAGTTAATAGTCAACTTATGTTATTTTCTAGGCTTTTCTATTTTAAAGTAGTTTCTAGGCTTTTCTATACGGTTTTTTTTTTAATTTTATTTACTAACAACTCGTATTACGGGTTGCTTACTGCTAGTAACCTATTATTTAAAGAAGTGATTAATAAGAAGACAACTTCTTTTATATTCTCAAACAAATTAAATTCCTCTCTGACTTATCTGCTTGCAATGGTCCCACAGACTACCTTTCAGAGTATGTAACCCAATTCATACAACAAATATTTTTATTTATGATTATTTCTCTAAATAAATCATAAACCAATTTGGAGTTTTATATTTATGGATTTTAGCATCTCCTTTCTCCTTTAAGACATTCCAAAGACAAGCATTACTTTCTCACTTTCCAATATTCGTATTTAAAGTAAAAATTGCCCTTAGGGGTCCTCAATAAAGTATTTACGCTTTTATTCAAACCTCTCACACTCACCCCACTCCACATTTTGTTATACGCTTTTTCAAGTGCCCCCACCTTTCTAAAAGTACCTATGCTTTTAACCTACCTACCCAACATTTTATGATATTTTCTTAATTTAGTGTCTTCTTACTTTTATAATTGACCCCCCTGCCTCCTGTCTAATATACGCCATTTGCAGACCCCTCTCCCACATCCGAGCATACATACTTTATGGATGATCCCTTTGTTTATGCAGTACTGCATGTTTGTTATGTTTATGCAGTACTGCGGGTAACAGTAAGATTTATACTATATAGCTCTACTTTATCTATTGAGCACTCTTTTAAGTAAACAATATTATACAAAAAAATATAAAAAAAATTTTTATTTAAAATTAAATTTTGTATAAACGGCTGCATCAAAAATTTGCACAAAACATAAGCTAAACTTTTTTTTTATAACGCAAGTTAAATCGCAGTGTTTGTTTTTTAATAAACAATATATATTGCAATATAATTTTAATAAATGATATTTGGAAAAATAATATTTACTTTCACAACAAAATTATTAATAAAATAATAAACTTTTAATAAAGTAAATAAATTAATGTAAATTTTTTATGGTAATCTTAAATTTTTTTAAAATAAAAAATCATTTGTAGTTGCAAAGCTGCAATTAGAAATTTAAGAAAAAATCATTTAAAAATTCAAAAACTTAACATATCGATGGCATAGTGCACAGATGTGGTAAGTGCAAGATTAAAAACTGTAAAAACTGTCATTTGCACGTGTAATTATAATTTTTGTATTTACCACATATTGTCAATTAGTAGACTCTTTATTGTTTATCGTACATATACCATATTTATGCACGATAAACTATAAATAAAAACACGTTTATCTGTGTACTTATCTCAATTTGACCAAAATTTGTACTTACCATATCTGTGCACGATGCCATCAATATTTTAATTTATGCAAATGTCAAGAAAAAGAAAGAAATTTGTTAATATCAAACATTTTTTAAATTGTAATATTAAATTCAATTATTTAATATTAAAAACAAAAAAAAAATAAACATTCCTTTAATAAAAAAGAAGTTAAATAACATTTAAATCATTTTGTGGTAATTAATATTATTAAGTAATTGAAAAAAGTTTGTCTTACAAAATGAAAAAATTAAGAGAATTTTATGGCATTAAATTCACATTAGGCTTCTGCATTAAACATTTTTAAATTTAAAACAAAGCCTGTAAATATACATATTACATAACAATATATATATATATATTGTTATGTAATAATTAAAAAAAATTATATTAATTGTATAACAGGTAACATAATGGTAAAACATAATGCCCTTTATAGACAAAAGAATATGTAAATATGGGGAACATAATGCTTAAGATATTTTTTAACATAACAGTAAACATAACACTAAACTTTTAACTTTCTACAACCTAAGCATATATACAAATAATGGTTGACACCATTCTTGCTAATACCGTATTCTAACTTTGCTGATACTAACTACCAACAATTTACAAGTAAATGGGTACATGCATGGTACCACCATATGCTAATCTATTTATGACTACATTCGATGCAACCATAATTGACAATTCCAACACAACATCAATTTTTACAAAAGACTTATTGATGATATCTTCTTTATATTTATAGGCTCCATGGAACATGTCAAAACAACAATAAACATCCTATATCTCACTTTTAAAACCACAAATATATAGCATAGTCCTTGAGGGTTACTATCTAGACATTAACAAAAACATCTCCGAAACCCAAACAAAACACCGACAAAAAAAAAGATTAACAATAGTTAAAAACCTACTAAAAACATTTTTTCCCTAGAGTCACAATATCGAATAAACAAGAAAAACACATCAATAATTCTGCATTCAACTGGATCATAATAAACAACGAAAGATACACTCGTCCTTCACCATCTATGTGGTTAGTAGAAACATATACTAGTAAATGATTGGGGCCCCGGCTCTGGCTAAAAATAAGACTTTTTTCAAATCCGGTCCCGTTAAACTATAAGATTTAGTAGGGGTTGATAGCTGGGGCTATAAAAAAATTTATAATACTTTATACATTATAATTTTATGCTTACATTTACTATTTATTAAATACTGGCATATATTTATACATTTTCAAACTCTAATTTACTTCCAACAAGATTGCAAGCAACCACTATTAAGTTATGAGTTACTTTAAAATAGAGATTAAGTAAAAATACTAGGAAATGGTTAGCTGAAGACTTGAAAAGTTGTAGATTGTATATAAAAGAAAAACATGAAGATGGCTAATAATTATTAGGTTTTTTTGATGAGCAAAGAAAAAAACTAGATTAATAAAAGTTTTTATAGCATGACAGGACAGATACAGTAAAAGGATCCAACTTGTTGAATAAGAAGCCAAACGAGAATGAGTTTTGGTTTATTGTAACAGAGATGATAGCTTTTTTGAGCATTGACCATGATTGTGTTTATTGAAAAAAGAAAGAAATGCAACTTTACAACAATGCGAGAGTGACTCAAGCTTGGCAGATAAAACAGGTCTAATTTATTATTATTTTTTTATATGTTAATTCACCTCCCAAGGCTGAAAACACCACTATAGACGAGAGGACTACCTCATTGTGATTAAAACTCTTTCTCAACTATATAACTCCAAAACACGAACCTTGACAACTAGGGTCGCTGTGCAGAGAAACACGTTGAGTGTGGTACTACCAGGGACTTGGTGGGGATCAAACTCGGTACCTCGCGCTTATGACGCGAGCACTCTACTATTACACCATGACCCTATTACATTTACAATGTGTTTTTTGACTTTTTCTGAGATTTAGAGGGTTGTTATTTATCAATATAGGTATAACAACATTATTGCAATTTTTTTTTGTAGTAAATAAATGAGTTTTGTTGGCTAACAAAAATTGCAGATTTCAAATCTAGAATTTAAATCCATAAGCCACAGCAAGCCTTAGCCTTTTACAGAAGAAAGATTCAATTAAAAATCAGCTGCTTGTTCTAAGCAATCAAAAAGGTAAAATTTTTTTGTCAATACAAGAGTATAAAATTAAGTCGTCAACAAACAGAACCACTTTAAATGTTAAATTTTCATGAAGATTGATATTGTAGATAAGAAACAATACAGGAGCAAAGATATAAGGGAATTACAAGATACCTTGTGGTACCCTTAAAGTTACTTGAAATAAAGAAGAGTGTAGGCCTTCAAGAATAACTTTGCTACTGCAGTTAGTAAGAAATAATTTAATAATCTCAAAACCTTTATATAAAGAAACTATTTGTTGAAGACTAACCAAAAGTCTCTAGAACCTAACATCTGATATAATATACAAGATTTAGAAAACTGAGAATAACAGAGCTTAACGTCAGACAGGACCTTTTTAGATTGGCTTCTTAGAATAATAAAAGGATAATTGTTCTTAAGAGAGATGCTCTTGCAAAGAAGATGAAATAAATGATTAATAAAGCAACTACTCAAGATGGTGAAAAATATGGAGTAGAATGAGGTTTGACTTAAAATTGAGAGTACAAATAAAAACTTCTAAACTTTTAGTCCAGAAGGAATAAAAGCTTCTGAGATGCACTTTATGCATACATATTATGGATATGAACATATATGCTTGCTATTTATTTAGATGCTGGAATACAATATCCTTTCATATTTATATAAACTTTAGTATTTTTATGGTGTAGTATTTGCCAAAAGAAATGATGATGATGATGATAATGATGATGATGATGATGATGATGATGATGATGATGATGATGATGATGATGATGATGATGATGATGATGATGATGGTAATGATGATTATGATTATGGTGATCATGATGATGTTTATTTTAGAGATGTACCAAAACTTCAACTTTGGCATGCTGAAGCCGAAGCTTCGATATGCTTTTTTATATTTTATTTAAGTTCTCTGTATAATTTTATTCCGTTGTTGTATTTACTGAAAGCTATTTTCACTATAATTTGTATTTAGTTTTTTTGCGCTTGAAACGTCCGCTAGAAAAATTATTTCTTATCACCACTCAAAAACATGAATAATTCATGGTTTTATAATTACAGAAGCAGATAACCTACAGAAAATCAATGGCAGCATGCTGAAATATTTGTATGCATACTAAAACACTTTAAAAACACTACGAAAGGTAAGAGTGCAGACACATCAGAGATCAT